TCCTGATAAGAACTTGGGCCCCAGTGTCCTTGCCCTCTGGGGTTTCCTTGCCTTGTACCTAGGAAATTCTTTTAAACTTAAGACTTGTTAGCATAGCTAAAAAATATTTAATATATAATATTCATCTGCGAAAGCCAATATCACAATACAAATTTATAACAGTGAATTATGGCAGAATTAGCCCATGGCAGAATTACAAGACTGTAAGTACTATAAAATGAAATAATTTTTTACATTCTTCTGTCTTTCACAGACCGTTCAAACTTATGTTGGCTTGATGTGACCAACAGAAGAGTTTGGCTCTGCTTTTAATTCAAACAAGGAGCAGAGCTGGAACCCGTTGAAAAGAATCTCTTCCCTTCCTAGCTTATGCAAACTGCCAGGGTTCTTTTTTTCCAGCTCTGGGCTGGAATTTAAAATTATCCCAGCAACAAACACTCCTGTAAAGTAACTGATATAAATTAGGGATTTGGTGTGTGTGCTCACTAACCCCTGAGCCCCTCCGAGCTGCAGCTCCCTGTTCTCTTTGCAGACAGAGGCTGGCTATGGATGACAGTCGTGCGTCTGGCCTGCTGCACAGCACATCCACACAGGAGCTAAGGGATCATCCTTGCACAGCCCATCCTGGAAGAAGAGAGTTCACTGATGAATCCGACACCGTTTTATGGCATGGCAGCAGAATAAAGGCTAGAATTGGTCCTGTTCCAAGCCCTTTACATTTTGCTGTGTGTAATGGAGACAGGAACTACGAGTTTCCTATTCATGCACAATTTGCTGTCTGAGAGCACACAGTCCTCAAGGTCACAGGGGCTTGCAGATCTGTGTCTGAGATGACTTTAAAACAGAACCAACCTTTATGTGCAACACCTGTGCTTCAGAACTTTACAATACATATCACAAGCTGATTCCGACTGTTAAGTGGGAAAAAACTAAACCAAAGAACAAAACCAAAACTCTGACCCCACAAAATAAACAAAGAAAAGAACCACTAAGAAAAAAACCCAGAACCAACACCAAAAGCCCCACAAATCCAGAAAAAGATAAAAATCAGGTGAATGAGGAAGAGATCCAAGAGCAACAAATGGGCAGAGGAACTACAAAAAGACAGGTAATAAGAAGGGGCAGATAAGAAGTGGCTATGGCACCAAACTAGCCAGGGCATCTGAGATACTCTTCTCAAAAGCCTTCTGAAAACCATCTGACACAAAAATAAACAGAAAATAAATGATGATGTCTGTGATAATGGGGCTCTGTATGTTTAGCTGTAATCTATCCACTGTGTGTAAGTTCTGTTTCCTTATTAAGTCACATCATCTGGCAAGGCTGTTTTTCTGTCCAAAGAAAAAACACTGCAGTGGAAAGGAGGCCAGCTTGGAAAATACTAAAAGCAAGAGGTAAAAATAATATGTTGTTTGGTTGGTTTGCTGTTTGCTCACGGGTTTTTTGCCTGTCTTTGAAAGCAGCTCCTTGGATGTTAATGCAAGCAAGAAGTCCTTTGTAAAGGGCTGTCTTTGCAAAACACCTGCCACTTCTGTGATGCAAGACAGAAACAGCTTCCCTTGGGCTGCAGCTGTGTAATAAATTAATCTATGAGTAGAAATTCGTAAAGGTATAATTAAAATATATATGTGATTGCGATGTCATAAAAATATAACATATAATGGGAATAAGTCCTTCTCCGGATCTGGTCGTGATTCTCCTCCGAGAGGCAACAGATTGCAGCCAAGTACCCAGATAACAATCGCAAGCAGGCACATCAGCCCCGAAAGAATGGACAGGACACGGGCCATCGAACGAACAAAGGAACGGGCCCGGACGAGATATCACCGAGCCCGAGCATCTCCGCCCTGCCCACCTGTGCTGGAGAAATAGAAAAACTAGACAAAGGAAGAGGAGACAGCCGAGATAGCCATCGGCTCCAGGATGAGTCCCACCACTCCACCCTAATGGCCCGGACCAAAATGATATCAAAAAGACATCCTGGACCTCTTTACATATGAGGAGCCTCTGCCCAACGTCTATTGACCCTATTCTCCAGTGCCAGGAAATCTATTCTTCGAACAATCAAGAACCTCTTAACAAAGGGTGCCTGCTTGGAATTTGGCCTCGGGACACAAACTTCCTATAAAAACCCAGGCCAAGGGACTCTCAGGCATGGATTTGGGAGCACCTATACCTTGCCTATAGACCCTGTCCACCCAGCGCTGCGCTGCTTATTTTATTGTGGTTTTTTTCTCGTTGTTCGAATTTATTATTGTTTGATAATAAATTTTCTCTTTTATATAACCCGAAATTGCCTTTGCATTTATAACAGCTGGAAGGCTTGAAAATGTGTTCCAGAAACTCGTGATATGACAGAGTCTGATGAACACAATTTAATGTCATGAACTGCAAGTGTAAGTTACCTGATAAAATAATCCGAGTATTTCTATGGCAAGCAGCAGGAAAGGGCTGTGCATTGGAATGACAGGAAACAGCCCCAGAGTGCATGATGGACAAGTTTCCCAGCCAGAGCAGACCAGAAGCACTGGGAGCACAAAGAGACACACCCAGGAGGCCCAGCAACTCCTTGCTGAGGGCCCATTTCATGCAAGGACTGGCAGTCAGAATATTAAATCAATTAAAAATAAAAGGGTGGGGGCAGGCAGCAGTGAGGTGGCCTCAGAGGTTCAGCTCTGCACTCTGCTTTTGTCACCAATATTCTCCTAGTTCCTGTGTTGGTTTTCCTAGAGCATTTGTAGCCAACAGAGCTTCCAGTCCCTTTGATCAAATCAGTCTTAAGAGCAGTGTGAGTCTGTGTCAGTCATTTGGATGTGAGCACTGACAGGGCTCCAGGCAACAAAAGAACATTAAGTGCAGGCCACCCCTACAGCTTTTCATATTAATGAGCACAAAGCCTTTATTTTTGCAAAAGGCGGGAGGGATGTTGGGGGCATTTTTGGACCATCAGGTCGAGGTACAAGGCTGCGGATCTACACCGCACTGTGGTAAGGAGAGGAACACAGGTGGGGACAATCCAGGCTGTTAGCAGTGCCCCCAGCCCTTCATTAGGGACATCACAATTGCTTTTTGAGCTCCTAAAGCAGCTGGTGAACAGCTCTTCTTCTTTTCTCGCCCCCTGCACACTGACAGGCAAGTTGAACAGAAAATCTGCCCCTCCCTCTATAATCTCTGAGCACCAAAGCAAAGAACCAACAACAACAACAACAAAAAAAACCAAATCGAAAAGATCACTTTGTGCCCAGGCAGATGTTTTTAAGAGCTTTCTAAGATTGACTAAGCCAGTGCTAACACCATTAATCTCAACAAATATTTTTACTTCCAAAAGTATTGTGCTGAATGAAGTGTGTGCCTTGCACAAAGCATGGGCCGGCTGCTGCCATGCACAGGTGGGTGCCGGGTCAGACCCTTTACCTTCAGAACCAGCCCTGCCTTCCTGAGGGACAGAAATTCATCTGTCAGAATCCCTTGGAGCTTCTGGAGCTGCTCTTGGCTCACTTGTGGATAATTGGGCTTCTGTGGAGAACTTTGAGCTTGGTTCCAGCACATGGGGTCTGCAGAATCTAAGCAGCATCTTTGTGGGGCTGAGAGGAATGACGCATTTGCCTTTACAAACAAGCTGTGGGTCTGCTGAGGAATAAAAATTGGATATGGAAAGAGAAAAGAAACAATGGTGAAAAACCATAAATGCTATAAGAATTAAAAATTAAGAGGGAGAGTTATACATTAGAGGGGAATCTTAGGTATCAGGCACTCTGGGAAGTCTGTACCTCTCAAGTACCTCAGCCAATGGGGAAAGAGAGAGGGATGTGTCACCAGGAAATTAGGATATAAAGGAGGCTGCGTCCTCCAAAAATTGGAGAGAACCCAGGGGAATGCCCCATGGCCTGGCCCTTTATTCAAATAAAGTGAAAGGACTCCTCTGTCTCTGTTTTGGACATAAACCTCTGGTGTTTGTGGATTAATTTTCCTGACAAATGGTGGCTTTGTCCGGGATATTTGCACCATCCAGGGCGGTGGGCAGCGAGCGCAGCTGAAGGCGCCTCACCCAGTTTTGGTGGCCAGCTCCCCTTGGTGGTGGCCAGCACTGGGCGATCGATTGGGTTCCCGAGACTGTCCAGGAGACAGACGAGAGGTGGACCAGGGGTGTCCATGAAGAGTCCACAGGGAAGGACCACTGAAAATCTCACTGGTGAGTAAAATGGGATCCTTGTGGAGCAAACCTGAGAGTGCACCCATGGAGGGTTGCAAAGGTAAAGCTGGGAAGGGCCCCCAGCAAAAGGAATGACAGTCCCATAATAGCCCCCAAAAATCCCTTGGAGAGAATGCTGAGCTCTTGGGACAGATTGTGCATTCACCAGGAGGTAACTGGGGAGATAATGGTAAAATATTCTTATTTTGTGTGGCCAGAATATAAATTGCCAAAGGGGCTTATATGGCTGCCTTATAAAACCAATGGAATTTGTTTGTGTCGCATTTTATGGAACTAGGTAGAGGAGAATTGGAAAAGATAGACTGAAAGGGAATGTAGATTGATATGGTTTTGACAAGCAGCAGGAGAAATCTATGTGTCAAGAGAAAGAGGAGGAAGAGGAAAACAGTGAAGATTAGGATGTTTTTCAGCACTTTCCCCTGTCTTGTAAGCCAGTGTTGCCAGCTGCAGGTCCCCTGTATCCTCAGCTTCTGGAGCAAAGGGATTAGGGCAATGCTGTTCCTATGGTCCCACCTGCAAATAATAATGGTGTAGTGGGAGGGGAGCAGCATATCATACCACCCCCTAGAACTAGAAGAGGAGCTCAGTTTAGGGCATCAGAAGCCCCCCAGACCCAAGAGACAGGGGTACACCAGATGCCACTCAGCCAAGTTCCTTTGGGAGGTCAGGGGGGAGGGTTTGGCTTTGTCATTGTAGCACTTAGCACCCAGGATATAAGTGGATTGAAAAAAGAATTACCCCCATATTAAGATGATCCCATA